TGGGGGCACGAAGAGTCAGACACGACTTAACGACTAAACAACAACAACAAAATCTTTTTTCTGTTCTTTTTTTCTATTTCATCTCTTACTTTTCTAGGTTGTGCCTTTGAATAGCTACTAAATGTTTAAAATGAAAAAAAGAAAGATGGGTCCACTTGCCTGGTAATTTTCTTCCTACACTTGTAATATTAGAGATTGATCATTTTTGCTTGAGAGGGCAAAGAAAGCAGTCTTCCTAAAAGAGCTGGCTTTTAGTTATTCTCCATATTCTAGAAAACTGGGAAATTAGCGCTCAAGAACAGAAGGTCTGCCTGTCATCATCAGCATAGGAAACCTCATGGAGATCTCTTCAGCCTTCCACTCTACAGTGAACTCTGAGCAGGTAATATCAGTTTAGTCAGACCAGTTGTATTGATTTTATTTGGAATACTATGTCCACGGTTGTTGGTTTCCCTCATCTTTCTTCTATTTTCTTCTTCCCAATAAACTCTTTTTTATATCTAGAGATTTGGTTTCATTGGTTTAGTAAGTGAATTTTTCATTAAAAGCTTTCCCTGTATAGACATGACTATTCAGCTATCTCTTGTGTTTCTAGGGTGGCACAAGGTTTATTAATTTCTGTATTTCTGGGCTTTGAAAAAAAAGATCCAAAGCACCTTATTTTTTATTTTTTTCTGAGGTTGGGCTAAAGGGAGAAGTCCTTGGTAGGAGAGCTAAGATCTACCTTGGGTCCTGGGTTACTCTGTTTCTGAGGATATTCTTCCCTTAGTTGCATTTCCCCACTTGGAACTAGTACACAATTTTGGAGTTCACCTGTTTGAGCAGCAGGTGCCAACTATGGCCAGGACTGCCTTTGCACAACTTTGTCTTGTGTGCCAATTGTGCCTGTTTCTGGATTGGGAGGCTTTGCTGAGAATTACTCATGCCTTAGTTACCTCTCAGTTGGATTTCTGCAATGGACTTTACATGGGATTGCCCTTGAATGTAAACAGGAACTGGAACTGGTCCAGAATGCAGTAGCATGGGTAATAATGGGCATGCCTTAGTATGCCTATGTAACACCACTACTTTGAGAGCTGCACTGGCTCCAGTAGGCTTCCAGGCACAATTCAAGGTGCTGGCTATCCCCTATGTGGCTGTACACAGCACAGGTCTTGGTTACTGGTGGGATTGCCTTTCTCCAGTTGTCTCTGCCCATCCCACAAGGTCACTTAGGGTGAGCACGATCTAGGTCCCTACTCTGAAGCAATGCCTGCTTAATGAGGCCGAGGAAATATGCTTTCCCTACTGCTGCCCCTGCCGTTTAGAATTAGCTTCCCTCTTGAGATTTTGATGCCCCTGACCCTATTGACCTTCTATAATGCTGTCAAGGCCTGGCTTTGCTCCTGCACTGGCTCAGCATGTTAGATGAACCCACCTGGAGATGATAATGTATATTACTATTGCCAGCCTTGATTATGTGTTGATTTTATATTTTTTGTGATTCCTTGTTTTTGCATAGTATTTTTCTTTTTTTCTTTTTATTGTTGCATGCCACCCAGAGTTACAAACTGTGGAATGGGCAGCTTAACAAATCTTATAAACAAACAAACTCTTCATGCTTGACCAAATGGCTGGAGGCTGACAGCACTTCATTCCAAAATAGATGGAAGCCTCAGGCTGACTTTCCCTAAATTATAATCTACACAACAAGAAAGCAGTTGTTCAGAAAGTGGTTGTGTTCATACAAGACAATAAGCCACAATAAACACAATGTAGGATTAAATCAGCCAACTATGATTTATTCAATAAATCATGGTTAAGTAAATCCAGCTTAACATGTTACATAGACATAACCATTCAGCTCCAAACTACTTAGGATGTTGAAAATCAAAATCAGAATATCACATTGTAGATGGATTGTTGGTTGGATGAACAGATGGCTGGCTGGTTGGATGAATGACAGATAAATAGATAGCCAGTATAATTTCTGAGCACCATCAAGCATATATGATAATCTTTTTGTTAAATCAAGATATGAATGAGATTTGGAAGTGGAAATAAACAATCCAATAAATCTTTCTTCAACTACTTCATCAGAAAAGCCAATATACTAAACCAACTTCAAATCCTGGGTTACTTTGACTGTTTTTCAAGGAGCAGACAGGTAGTTAGATGGCCAGTGGTATCTTGACAAGCAGCATTTACTTCCTCCCAAAGAAGAACCATTTAAACTCCCCAATATTATTTTTCCAACCACCAGCAAAACAAGTCTATTTTTCCAGGGATTTTGCCAATGGAATTCCCACCTGATTATGTACAATGTGCTGTGGTTCACTTAAAGGAATATATCTCAGCCACTGACAAATCGACAAATAATCCTTAATACAAATAAAGCAAGAAATTATATACACATGGCATAATATCTTACCTTTCTTAAGACACGGAAATCTGAATAATTTAACTAATCCAAAATCATCTCCAGTCACTAAAACTGTATTATTATAATTTCCATCTACAGAGTTAATGTCTGTAACATCACTGTACTTTGGCCAGATTCCATTTACTTCTGATCCTATCACACAGGTCCATGAAGCCCAATGAATTCCTTTGATCTCATCTTTGTTTGCCAAATGTTTTCCAGCTGAAATAAATTCAGGTTAATAAGTCATTTAATTACATTGTTTCAGAAGCAGCTGAACACAAAGTTTAATGCTTTTCCAACTTCTTACAGAAATTATCCTTTCTCTTGGGCCTTTTCCCATTGCTGAGTTGAAGTGCTATCCACTCATCCTTGAATACACAGAAAATCCACAGAAATTTGTGTACTCATTGCTGATCTCTATCTCAACTCCTGCAAATAAGGATGACACCTGACTTCCTTCAAAGATAATGGGTGACAAGGCTAACAGATTTTATATACCTTAACATCTGTACCTTGGGCAATGTGAGAATAAAAGGTAGAGACAGAAAGAATAGGTCCTGAGAAGAATGAGCTTAAGTCATTATCTGTATCAGGAGGCCAATGAGAAGCAGGTAAAGTCGAACTACAGTGAGTTGGGTCAGAGTCTATAAGGCAGAAGAACCTCTGTCATAGCAGTCATGAGACAGAGAGAACCTCTGGTAACCTCCATTACTATTGTGAGAAAAAAGAAACTGCTCTGTCAAAAATCCTGTACGAATTCAATCTCCACTTGGTGTATGAATATAACTCACAATGGAGATTACATTTTTTTTTGTTGATGGGATTTGACAAAAACAAACAAAAGTTCCCAGTGAGTCTGGAAGAGGAACATGATCTCTAATTTCATTAGGTATTAATACGTTTCATCATCTCTCACTTGCAGATGAACTGTCTCCCTTATAGTATTTGTAACAGCAAATTATTTGACTTACATTTTAATTTATTTCTGTATTTTGTTTTGATATCAAACATTTATCTTTACGGATCTTTTACATTTTGCCTGACTGTGCCATCTTTATTTGCATGCCCAGTAATATGCAATCCATGGGAAAAAATTGTTTAAATTTGAGGTTTCTTCTCTTGATTGAAAAAGATAAGTTTTACATTTTTTCTATTACTGTATAATTAAAGTGAAATGGGAACTTCCCTTTCTGGGACAGCTTAGTAATTGAAGTAGGATCCTTTACTCATGAAATAGTTGGCATCATTCCCTTTACATTATTTGGGTTCTTTATAATAACCAAACAACAGTAACTCTAATATTTATTTTTGCATTTATTAGATTGTTATACAACTGTGTGACTCTTGACAGTGTATGCCCAAAACAATCATAATAAAACACATATAACATTAAATACAATTCAACAGAAACAGATTTAAATGTTAGGAGTGGGAAGCAGTGGCTGCAGTGGTTTGCCTCTTCCCTCAATGGTCAGTCCCAGTCCATGTTGACAGGAGGGCAGAGATCATGTCCACTCAATTATGGGGTGCCTCAAAATTCAACACTGTAACCCCTCTTTTTTAACATCTACATGAAACTGCTGGGTGAAGTCTTTCGTTAGTTTGGGGTTCAATATTATTGATACCCAATTGTGCATCTCAACCCTGGGTTGCGCAGGTGAAGCTGTCAGTGCACTGACCCAGTGTCTGGATGCTATTCTGGTCTGGAAGGGGTGTAACAGATTTCAGCTCCATGCTGACAAGACTGGCTTTTGGGGCTTCTGGGTTGGGGATGTTTTCACCTTTGGTCTGGGATGGGGCTGCACTTCCCCATTCAAGACTGGTGCGCAACTTGAGGGAGTCCTACTGGACTTACAGCTACTGCTTGAAGAGCAAGTGATAGCTGTGGCCAGGAGGGCCTTTGTGCAGGTTCATCTGGTGTGCTAGTTATGCTCTTTCTTCAACCAGAAGGCCCTTCAGATTGTCTCTTATGTGCTAGTCACCCCACAACTGGACTATTGCAATGCACTCTACATGGGCCTGCCCTTGAAGATCATCCAGAAGCTACAGTTGGTTCAAAAAGCAAGGGTGCAGGCAATAACAATCACTCCTCACTATGCCCATGAGTCATTGCCGCTGCACAAGCTGCATTGGTTACTGGTTGGCTTCTGGCTGCAATTCAAGGTGCTGATCATCACCTATAATGTCCTTAATGGCATAGAGCCTGGTTATTTGAGGGATTGCCTGTCTCCAGTTATTTCTGCCCACCTGGTATGCTCAGGTGAAGTTGGTGCATTCCATGTCCCTTCTGTTAAACATTGTCATCTTGTGCAACTGAGAAAGTGTGCCTTCTCTGTCATGGCCTTATGTTCTCTAGAACAACATCCACCCAGAGATACATGAGGCTCCCACTCTCCAAGTGCTCCAGAAATCTCTTAAGTCCTGGCTCTGTTCCCAGGCCTGGGGTTAGGGTGTATGTGGAACCCTGTTGAATTTTTTTTAAAGTTACTGATTCAATTTTGTTGGGGTGGTCATGTTTCTTAAATTATGCATTTTAAATATTGTAAGCCACCCAGAGTCTTTTTGGATTCAGGCAGCCTCAAAATCAATTAAATTAAATTAAATTAAATTAAATTAAATTAAATTAAATTAAATTAAATTAAAATTCAGTGAAGCTTCATTTAGCAGACTTTGGATGCAATGGACCAAATTCCATTATATCAAATGTAGTTCAGACAAGGCAGTTAAGTTTATGTTAATTTCATCTTAATTTTGTGACATTCAAGCTGATTTCTGCTACTAGTGTAATGAAACATTAAGGAAATTACAGAAATTGTCATATGCATAATGATATCATTGCACACATGATAAATGGTCCTTTAAAATGAGGTTTCACTGTACTGTATTACAGTGGAAAAATGTATTGACTATTTTAAAAATATTACTTGATACTGACTTATTCTAAATTCTATTAGCTAATCCAATCTTGATAGTCAAATCAATTTTCCATTGTTATACCCATCAGTTCCAGAATAAATTTCATACACAAGGAATTCAGTAATTATTTCTAACTTCAGTAATAGTTTCATCATATTTCTTTACTGTATCAATATCCAATGATTTAAACTTTAGCATAATTTTAGACATAATAATTTACAATTGCTAAAATTAAGAAAACCCACATTCAGTGATGAAACTGATGATTTTTAGCTAGTCTAATTTGGCTAAACTTTAAATTTTGTATTTACTTCATATATATCCTACTGTTCATCCAAGGAGCTTAAGGAGGTATATATGTTTCCCCATACTTTGATCTAAGTTCCTTGGATAAAAAAAATGTTTAAATAAATTAATGGGGAATAGTGCTTATTTCAGTTCATCACACTGTCCTATCTCTTGGCTATACTGATCTATTAAGTAAACATTTTATTTAGTGATAATTAAAATGTAAGTGCAGTTAATGAAAAAAATATTCACTTACATGGCATCCTGTAGAAGAACCGTTCTCCTGCACCATCATTTGTTTGCAAGAATTTACTGTCTAGAGACCAGTCAATATGAGTGATAAAACTAGAAGACTTGTTGCATTCTCCAGTTTTCTTATACCTCTGAGCAACTGCATAGATATCTACCTGACCATCATTAGAACCCACTGCAAGATAGCAGCCATCTGGTGAAAACTTCATTTCATGAATTACTTCCTTCCGATCTTTGATATGAACAACTTCTGTCATATCTCTGCAAAGAGTATTGAAAACATAATTAGCAGTGGGTCTGCAAATGAAATATGATAAAATGGTGGTATGCAGTCTTATTAACTACACAGATTGTATGTTGCACAAACATGCTCTTAAAGAGTAATCCAATAAATATGTAGTTAAGAAGTCCTACTAACTTCAACAGAATGTAGCCTTGTAGCAGAACCTTATCATGTGTATTCAGAAAAAAACTCACTGAATTAAAGTAGATTTACTCTCAAGTAACTAGATAGCGGATGGCAACAGGCATATATGCATCTGGGAATAAGCCACTTGAACATAATGGTGTTTCTGATTAATATCTGGAATTATACTTTCCAATTCTTTCCCTCACTCTCAAAAATAGCCAGCCCTGATTTTGTTTTGAATGCTACCCGCTTTGAATTTTACAATTTTACATTTTACAACATAACACACCCTAATCTTCAGCCTACTTTTGCTTACAATGAATATTTCCCATCATACTTTTAAAAAAAAGTATTTAGTAGGTAAGTAGGATAATTACTTAACAGTAGTGTTAGAAGCTGAAACAGCAATCCAAAATGTTCAGCACAGTTTTCTGCTAAATTTTCTATATTGCCTGTGCAACATGAACGCAAAGTCCTGCTGGATCAGAGCAATTTATAAGCCTCAGTTTATACAGTATAGTATAGTAGTTAGGTATGTAAATGAAGATTACACCACTAAAGAATAGCAAAAGGAACTGGTCACAGTATCAACAGTGCCCAGTTATGCACACTGTCCCTCTCCATTACAGACTGCCTGGGCCACTGTCTATTAGTGTGTATTCTCCATGCCTTCATATGAATGTGCAAGATTTGCTTCAAGCACATTTTTGTTACTGAATTCAAATTAAGCAGCACATATATCCAAAGCAGCCCAATTCATTTTTATGGTAATTTTATTAAAGATTAAAATTACAACAATAAAAATTAATACAAACTAAAAGAAAAATAAAAGAATAAAGGGAAAAACTAGAATGTGCAGAAAAGAAAGAAAAAAATAAAAAAGAGAAACAGAAATAGAAATAGAAATAGAAAAGAAAGAAAAAATAAGAATATAGTAAAAACGAAAAGAATTAAAGAAGTGACCTCCCCCTTCATCACAAGTATAAACAGTTTTAGTAACTTAGCACCTTTTCTTAAAATATAACAAATGATCTCTTCTTCCTATATCCCATCTCTTATCTATAAGCAAATCCATAAAGCCTCACCATTTTAGTCCTGATTTCAGTAAAAGTCATTAAGGGTTACCAGAGATAACAACAAATCTATTTTAACCTTGATCAAATAAACCAACTTTATATTCTTTCCTTTTATGTCTAACAATCTTGATCTTTAGTCCCATCAAATAATGTTGTAGAACTTGATTTCTTTTCATTTTTTTCTTTGTCCTTTCTCACAAAATTCATCAAAACTTTAACAAGCCTCTTTGTAAATCCAATATAGGAATATTATCCAAGTTACTCCCTTGGTTTGTTATCTGTATATCCCTTTTAATTATTAAGACATCAGCCAGTTTCATTTGCACGTGCATGTAACATTTTTTTTCGTATCATTCTTGTAGCCTGTCATTTTTAAGCCCACTTTCAAATCAGTCTCGATCTTGTCAGGTAAAACTTGTTCCTCTTCAATAACATCTGTTAAACACAGTCTATTTATATTGACACTCTTAAAATTAACTTCTGGGTCCATTGTTCAAAAATATCCTTCAATATGTCCGATGTTAAATATTTTGCTTCATTCTGTAATTGTTGAGTTTGAATGTTCTTCTCCTTTAATTATAATCTTTAGTTCCCTCTAGTTCCCTTTAGTGCCCAATTTTTTAAGTCTTTTCTTTTAAAGAATTCAAAACAAAAGCATTTTCCCATAGGAATGATTCTTTAGATTAATTCCAAAATCTTGTTTCAAATTTATCTGGACCCTTAGTCCATTTGTAACTTGCTAAAATCCAAGTTTTAATAACCCTTTTGCTGTTTATTCAAAAAAAAAATTTTTTTTTAAGTTCTTAAACTTGTAGTTAAAGCTTCTTTTGCTAAGGATTGAAGGAAACTCATCCAGTGCTATAGAACTCATTGATCCAAAGCTTCCTAATAGCTGAAAAGCAGTTAACAAACAATTTCTGAAAGTAATTAGAAAAGGAAGTATGCAAATCCAATGTCCTTTCAAAGGCACTGACCGCAGTTTGAGCAAGATGGCTATTCCCTTGTCTCCCAGAGCTCTATACCTGCCAGAGACCACTATCTTGAGGTCTGCTTGCGAAGGGCAGCTGCCTGGAGCACTTGTGGGCAATCTCAAGTCCTCTCCTTGTCTGGAGAGGAATTATTGAAGTGCCGATCCACTCACTGACTCTTCATTCCGCTGTGATTGTTGGCTCTGGTTTTCACAGAACCCTCTTCGGTCCGCCATTTCTTCCTCAGAAGTCCAAAACAGCCCAATTCAGATGGGACAAAGATATCCCTTTTCTCTTTCTCTTATGCATCTAGTTTTCAGAAAAGTATATTTGCTAAAGCAGTTTCTTCTATTGTCAGAGTGGAAATGAGACAAACTAACAAATCAGAGTATCAAAACAGATCTGGTTACAGAAAACTATGATTTAACAAGACAGAATTAAAGCATCTAAGCTAGGGATGCAAAGAGAAGGAAGAGGAAAGAATATATGCATACAAAGACTAGGTTTATTCACCATGCTAAGCCCTACTTTGTTTTTATTCTAGTTTAAAATTAAGTTATAATTTAAGAAACTGCAATAGCTCACCATAAACTCTAAATGATGAACGCTGGTTTACAGATCACAATTGCTAGGCCCATGTAATTTGTTTCAAACAACTTATCCTCAAGCTTTCAAAATATGTTTTATCAGACTATTGTGTCTGAAACAGGCTAACAACTTGTGAAAGAACATTTCAGGTTTGGTCTGAATTATTTTTTAAAGGCTGAGTTAAGCCTACCTTACTCTCAGAACAATGAAAGACCCATCTTTCATTCCCAGAGCCAGCTGAGATCCATCAGGGCTGAAGGATACACTCCGCACAGCTTCTTCCATATTGCATCGGGCAATCAAGGCATGATCGACAAGGCTCCATAAGCTTCACAAGAAGGAAAAGATGAGAGAAGTCTGTTTATCTCTACAAGAGAAAAATTAGTCCAGACTTTACATGCAGCTCTCCCTTTCTATTTACTGCCTATCTGGTTTACAGAACAGATTAGATTAAAACAGGGACTGGGTAGTTTGTAGTTCAACATGTGAATGGAGTGAGGTATCATTTGCGGCACCATGTGGTTCTATTCTTCAACATTTTTATTAATAACTGGAATGAAGAGGTAGAAAGAATGCTTATCAGATTTGCAAATGACACTAAACTGTACAGGTATTTTAACTATTAATCATGTTAATTATTTGTATTTATTTGTTAGATTTATATTCCACCTTTGTTCAGGAGCTCAAGGCAGCATATAGAATGCTCCTTCCTATTTTCCTCACAACAGCAATTGTGTGACTGACAGAGAGAGAGAAACTGGTCCAAAGTACATTAACCACCACACTACTCTGCCTCTCTATATTTTCCGTACATTGTAGAGTGAAACATATACAAGCACAAAATTGCAGTCTGGACTAAATTTAATTGAAAACATTTTTATTCCAGGACAAGAAAGTCAGAAAGTATACTTTCTTAGGGATTATTTTTCACTCGATTCAGCTGAGATTAAGACGTCTTTCAGTATTTGCCATTTTTTAAAGAAAATCCCACTTTCTTGATGCAATTGCAATTCAGACACCTGCCCTTTGTGTTTCTTTACTGATTGTTCATAATGACTAATCCGCCTCTCACAAAAGAGTTACTTAGTAACCACACTAGCCAAGAAAGGAAATAATTAAGATGCTAGAAGTTTTATTGATGTTTCAGGATGCTTAAAACTCAAGTCTTGCTCTAAGAAAAATGATTAGAACTAAAATAATTGTCACAGTTCTCACATACTTAAAAAAAACTGTATCTGCCTCTATCTCAAAAGCATTCCATAAATCTGTAAATTCAAATAGAAGAACGCAGATGAAATTGGGTGCTTCTAAGGCTCTTTGTTTTTTTAATCCTTTCTTGATTTTTTTCTTTGTATATCTATATTAATATTATAAGTCTGTGGGGTTTAACAATTCTATGATAATTCTTTCATTTACATGTGTACTACTTGGTTTTCTTTTCGCCAACAAATATATAAAAAATACCAGTGCTTTAAGTACCTGTCCTTTGGCTAACAAACTGGAGTATAAATGCTAGAATAAATAATATATAACTAATAAATAAATAAAACATTTAGCTAAATATTGCTTAATTTTTCTTCTTCAAATTAATTATCACCAGAACCTTGATCTTCAAAGCCATGAGGATTTCCCAGCACAGCTGTGGTGAAACTTCAGGCATATATGCTGTTGCCTTACCGCACGGATCGATCATCACTGCCAGTAACAACTAATGGTTTTTTGGGATGGACTGCCAGAGCCCAGAGCTCGCCTTCACAGTGGCCTTGCATTATGAGCATTGGCTTATCTCTTTCTCTCACAATCACTTCAAATATTTCACTGTCCTGTGTTCCTGCTAGAAGTCGATCTGCTTTCCAACACACGCTTCGGATGGATAAACCTGAGAAAGGACAGAATAATCTTTGTATATTAATGAATAATTATTTATAGTGGACACAATCCAGTCAAAGTTAAGCATTGTGAAGTCCTACTGCTTTTCAGTAGAAGACATAAACATGTCTGTAATTTGTCATCTCAGGAATGCAATAGGACATAAAATGCTTCACTTTAGGAGAATCATGTCTTTAGCGAACTCCTATCTACCCAATAATTGGTAACCACAAGTAATTTGAAAATCACAAAAAGAGATATTAAGCAAAAATAATAGGGTCAGAGTAGATGGGCTCAGAGAGAATTGTTTGCTTATTGGTGGGGATTGGAAAGTACAGTGGGTCCATCCATAGGAGCAGGCAGCCATGGGACAGCAGAGGCTCAATTCTAAGGATTCTTCAGAGAGAAACAGCACAGCAGGTATGAACTCTAGAATTGCATTTTAATCATGATACCTCACTGTAAAGATTTTTCAGGGAGTAGCTATCAGGGCAGCCAGGTATGCAGCAGCATCTGCAAAGGACTGTCAAAATCTGCAAGATGGTGGGCACAACACTGTGATCCAAGTATCTTGCAATGCACCCATCATCTTGCAGATTTTAACATTCACAATGGATTGCTGCTGCTGCTGCACTGTTTTGCTTTTTTGAGCATGATCTTTTATGAAAATTGGTAGAGGGAAGAATATGATAGCAAGCAATCTTTCCTCACGTCCTCTGGAACTACTTGTGCAATGTAAGGCAATCATTACTCATAATATGCTAACTCAAGTCAATTCTTGCCTGTTTGTATATATGCATATACCTTATATTTTTAAAGTCAGTGATATGGAGATTTTGATAATATTTTAAATGTAATAAATGAATTCATTCACTGCTGAAACAGTTATACAATTCCTAATACCAACACTGAGGTACACAGAAAACTGTCTGCTACAACTCAGAGTAGACCTTATCATCTATTCTGACTAATGATCAATTTCCAGGTTCACAGGAAGAACTCTTTCCCATTAGTTGCTACCTGATCCTTTAATTCTGGGATCTTCTATATCCAAAGCATGAATTCTGCCATCCAAACTAAGATTCCTTCCCCAAAGTCCGACACAACTCACCAAGTTTGTTTTTCACCACCAGACACCAGAGATCTGCAAAATGGAGAGGGGAGACTGAAGGGCTGTCAGATATTACCCAACAGACTATAGTAGATAGTCTATACATTATGTTTGATTCTGTGGATGACAAGTTGGACAAACTGGCCTAGATAATGCTAATTTTTCTGATTCAATATGATTTGCCTATTAGTGTGATTTAATATGCAGTTGCCTATATCTTTTCACAAGATTTTTTCATCCTTTAGCTTGTACAGCAGCCAATACTTATTTATACATCGGCAACATTCCTTTTCTGAAGAACTGCAACTGATTATCTATGTAATAGTTAAGCAAAGGTCCATTTCTGTATCTTTGTTACAGCATTAACTATATTAACAGTACATATGGACAAGTACTACACAACTGTTAATTCTTATTGCTGGCAGGCTTGCAATCTGTTTTACCATATCAAGCTCTCTCCTACAATATAAGAAACAGATATAGACATACAAAATAGGCAAAACAACTAATTTTAATCTCATATTTTTATTAAAACTATGGGTTTTTATATTTCATGGAGAATATGTTAGTAGTATGACTTAATTTTAATTCTCCATTCAAATTCTAATAAAGCCTTCTCAGAAAAAGAGAGAAGAAAGTTAAGAAAAACACAATGTGGAGCAATCCAAAAGTGTGTCTACCAATATTCTGATTCTCATAGTTGCAAATTAGATGCCTCCAGAATGGACACAACAAGAATGGTAGTCAGTAGTCCCTTCATTTCTTAACTTAGGCTTGAAGACAACACTTCTCTCCCATGGATTGAGAACTAAGTATCATCATATTGTTGCAGTGTTATTATGCTTTTATATATTGAGTGGCTGTGTGTGTGTGTGTGTGTGTACACATGCATACATGTGTGTGCATGGGTATGTATGAACACACACACATCTTGTACCATGTTTGTGTAAATGTATGAATATATGGATATATGTGAAAAATAGAGTATGTAAGACCCAGTCAAATTATGCCATAAAGCCAACAGATTATGTACTAGGAGATATCTGCCAATGCAGTATATTAAAAGAAACACCAGAATGAAGATTTCTAAGACACAAGAGACAGTTCTCAAAATACAAAGTGGTTCTCAAACCAAAGACAATTCACCTATGAACTGGAGGGGGCAATGGCAATCAAGTGGAAAAGTACTAGAAGGCATTAGAAGAATACCAAGCTGGAGCTGGCCAAGCTTTGCTGGAAGTTATAACAGTGGATGAGAACTGTAGAACTTTGGAGCCATATCAAACATTGAGGTACTTTGCATAGTGGGTGATCTGCCTTGATTCTTCTAGACATGAACAATAAAAATATTGAAAGTGAAGAATAACAGTTATAACACCATGTGTTACCTTTAAACCAGTTCAAGTATGTTGGCTGTTTTCTATCACTTTTTGGAAATAACTTTTAATGCTTAAGTAGACTATTTTAATATTGCCATATTTTATTAACTGTTTTTGTACTCTGAGGAATATATTATTAAAAACAATAAACTGAAGGGGAAATGGGTAAGAATATTATTAATAAAACAAACAAATACCTGCCTTCACCAGCTGATATTTCTGTATGGTGCTTCTAAACAAGATGGTTTCCTTCAGTTACATTGCTAACAATCTATGCCATGTATGCAAATCATGTGAGCCATACTACAAATACATAATTAATATGCTACAGTCAGTGATGTGCTGGATCTGGCTCATACCAGCATGCAAGAGCCTATTGTTAAATTTTCTGGAATTTTGTGAGGTACTTGAGAGCAGAACTGAGCTGGGACACCTGTTTGGTGACTTGTGGTACAGTGCAGTGGCATCAATGGAGTTGGCAGAGCCAGTTGTTACACATTTATTAGCACACAATTGATTGCTGGACATACTGGACAATTACACTGCACTTTTTCAGGCACTGGGTAGCAGGCCCATACTTACATACAGACAACCACCTAACCTAAAGCAGATTTTCACAAGCAACAAGATACAACAGGACAATGATGCTAATATCTGCAACAAATCCAGATGCCTACTTTGCTCCCACATTTATACCAACAGCACCATCACAGGACCCAACAACTTCACATAAAGGTGCTTTCGCATGCTCTTCCTCTAATATATGCGTCGACAACTGCCTGCAATGCCCTTCTGGATTCTACATTGGACAAATGGAACAAACTTTGTGCAAAATAATTAATGGACATAAATTTGACATTAGGACTCAAGACAAAAACAAAGTAATATTGGAGCATTTCAACCTCCCAGGGCACCTCATTACAAGTACCCATTTGAGGGGGGAAAAAACCCCAAACGTTGTCAGCCCAATTGAGCGAGAGACTGATGAATACATATAGTGTACGTGAAAAAGTTTCAGGCTATCTTAGAAGGTCTTAGCAAACAGAATGGGTTTTAAACACATTACAACTGTTACTTGATAAGGTTTTTGTCATCTGTCTCACTTGCAACCTGCATCTGGACAGCACCCTGTCTTCCTCTTCCTTTTCTTCCCGTCTCATTCCAATTTAAATCTGACATTGACTTAGCCATATATCTCTATCTCTCTATCATCTCCATAACATTTGATGAAGTGAGCTGTAGCTCACAAAAGTTTGTCTTTTAATAACATTTGTTAGTCTCAAAAAAGTGCTACCAGACTGCTTCTGAGTTTCATAAAAATTATGTGATCTATGCAGCAGAAAACTAGGAATATGAATTACACAATTTGTGTACATGTGTAGACAACTATACTTATAATTCCAAGTAATATATGGGGATGGAACAGATTAATTCAGAAGTTGGGAGGTGGGGGTTTCCTCCTTCCCAGTTAATTCCCTTTTCTTGATACAAAAAGAACCCAAAGAGTTCCTGTATAATATATTCCACGAATGTAATCCTGTTTAATTAGCCAGTTTGAATAAATGGTTTGCAAGTTCTGTATCTCCATATTTCTTTGAATGTCTATGCTTTTTTCTTGGTATTCTTTATATAGAGCCATAGGGCTAATAAATGACATTGATTTAATAAATCTCTCATGAGAATTTCCTTTTTAAATTAACTTTCATTATCTTTAAAATAGGAATCCATTTTAGATGCCATTTGGGAAGATCTGCTATTGTATAGACACACTAGGTGTTATTGACATATATGAATAAATTATGGGAATCTAATCTTGCTTATTCTTCTGAAGGAAAAAAAAGATATTTCTATATATATATATCAATTTTCTCTCACTCACCTGACCATGCCAAGACATATACAACAGGAAACTATTGCAGCATCTATAGCTTTTATTTAAGAAATGGATGCTGTGATTAAATTTTGGCCAAGATATTGCAGATAAGATAGATTCCAATGTCTAATCAAATATTTTCCCCAATAAAGCACAACAGAAAGCACATTGGTGAATGTCAGAGAAGCAGATACATATGTTGGTTCTTGCCGCCATGGAGCAAACGCAGTGGATGACCAGATGTGATCCTTGGTGCCTTGCTGCCCCCCAGGATACGTGGCCTGCAGAGGTGTGGTTGCCTTGGACTGTTCTGATCTGCATGGGAGGTTCCAAGGGATGTTTCTGAAATGGAGCTGGGGCCTGTTGGGTTGTGCCTGGCCATGCAGGGTTGGAAGGGACTCTGTTAGGTTTAGGGTCCCTACTTGCAATTTAGGGACTGTTGACAGCCTGCTTCTTGGCTCCCTGAATGAAGCTGCCTAACTGGGGTCCTGCTTGGGGCCTGGGGAGCTTGCATTTCCTTGGCCCTCTTCACCTTTGGAGGTGCGTGATCTCCCCCACTTTGGAGGGTAAGTGGTGGGTGGAGCCTAGTGTTCTTTCTCTGCAGGGACCTGCCTCCCCCAGAGGCTATGGAGTGCTTGGGTAGGTGTGGGCAGAAGGGTGACTAAGTTCCCTGTAGGCCAGGTTGGGTTATTGGGACATTCAGTTGGGTGTGTGTGGTGTGTGCGTGGGTTAGTTATGTGTATCACAGCCTGAGAGGAAGGAGCAAAGGGTGAGAGTGGAGTGGGGGTGGTGGAGTGCAGACGGCAGGCAGGAACATTGGGCCAGTGATGGGCAGAGGAAGGTATGGCAGGAGCCCAGGGTGAGGGCTGCACTTGAGGATGTTCTCCCCATCTCTGTACCCTATTTTTACCTAATATATATTTTTAAATGTCTTGGCATACTTCAGAATGATCATCGTCTTGCTTTATCTTATTATCTAAGAATAGATCCAAAATATTATTGGAAATAAAGATGGCACTGGCATGTCATTTAGCAGCCTACTAGTTTCCCAATTAGGGTGGGTTTTTTTTTTATTAAGAAGGGATGGAAACCTGGAGGACACCAATGGAGGGGTCTACAGCCATAATGGTGTGTATTGGCCTTTGGTTGAGGCCCTTCAAGATAGATGAGAAACAAACTCTTACAAAGCAGCTTCTAATGCTGTATGACAGTGCAATTGCACAGCAATTCTTATACACTAGCTGAGGATGTAACATTTCAGATATTAATCTTAACTCATACTACTAGCAGTCCCTTCAAATACATGTAACTTACAATATGTAAGTTATGCTGCACCAGCATTGTCCAGTAGCCTATTTCTTGCTCAGTGCTTCCAGAAAGCTTAAAAATATAAAGCTTCCTCACCTGCACATCTCAGCTGCTGCAAAAAGAGGGGTTATAGCCACAATTGTGCTTCAGTTGCCTCAACTAGTCAGATCTTGCCAAGACACATTCTGAAAGATATGTGAATAGAAGACAACATACCCTATTGTGATAGTAAATGAAGGGGAGACTAGCTTAGGGTTTGTTTGTTTTTAGTTAGTCTCTGTTAGAATAAGAAGAAAGGACAGATATTATTTTGCCCTCTGGTTTATTGGTTCCCTTAGAAACTTGATGAAAATTGGAGTCACAGTGTGACAAACCTCTGCTCTTATTTTTATGTGTGTAAATATATCTTGTATAATATCATTGTCAGTTTTATTATTTCATACCAAGAACTCTAGAAACTGGATTAATGCTGGTACTCCTCAACTTGAGGATACATGCCCATATTAGTATCACAGTCTCCAGAACTATGCCTTGTATACCTAGACATGTATTCATTTTACTGTCTCCAATACTGCTGTAGCAACATTCAACAATGGTGTCAGAAGTTTTACTGTCTTTTGTGCTAACTCAGGTCTTGTCAGATTTGTCTCATCTTAAGCTATCTGAGCTTGGATCCCATCCATTGGATCTGTGCCCTGGCATTCCCATAGCATTCGATGGGAGATACTGTTTGTATGTTTATCAGTACTAAATGCCTCATTCCAGCCATTTGTATGGGCATTTGGTTAGGCGACTACAAGAAAGCTTTTCTTTCTTTTCCTTTCTTATTTTTACTAATACATATTCTTAAATCATAAGAAAGATGCTTTTGTTTCCATCTCTTTGAAAGGAAAGAGCGCTGCTATTCTCTGCTACTTGCCATAAAGCTTCTAGGCCAAGAGGTGACACTACATACTTGGTTTTCCTTTTTCATCACCATTATAATAATTATTTTCACCATTTTTATTTTCATATGTTCAGATTAGGGATAAATTGTTCAAACTTTGAGTTCAATCTCTGTCACAAGCCAGCATTAAAGCATTTCCTTTCCCCAGGAAGTTGAGTAGTAGTATCTGGAAGTACAATGTACCACATAGCCAAAAGTTGCACTAAAGCAGGAGGGAGATACAGCCTAAGGGCATTTTCAGGAGGGTCAAGGTCCCTTCCGTCACCCACCAGTGATGTGCCCCTCCTCCAATCATACACTACAAGTACTGTAAGCTATGGTCGTAGTAATAAAACTCTGGAAGTATAAAAATATGTTTATAGCATACTTATTTTACACTGAATGTTACAAATAAAATATTTGTACAAATTAAGGACAAAACCTTAATGAAAAAGAAATCATTACCTTTATATCCTTGCTCAGTCTCCCTGAGATCAATTTTAGTTATTGGCTTGAAATCAATATCCCACAGTCGAATACAGCCATCTCTCCCACCAGTTGCAAAGCCTTCCTCACATGCATACATGCTAAAAATTCCAGCCTGCACGATAATGTAGTAGGGATTAAATGTGTATCATAGGACAAAGCTGACTGCAAAGTGTTAAATGCAATGCTTGTCAAATAGAATTACATCACAATGTTTTCTCCTATGAGATTCCAAACATTTATATAATCTGATTATTTAGTCATTCCATCATATAAAAACAAACAAAACAAACCAGCCCACAGGAAATATATTTTTTCTTGCCAAGAGATATGAGCCAACAAAACCGGATATATTAATCATTTGTATGCTACTGAATCATATTAAAATAATACAATTGTGTAATAATTCTGTAATTTCGGTTCATGTCTACTACCATAGCACTCTTTCCTTGATCAGCCTATTTCTATGATGCATGCACTTCATATTTCTATTTGTCATTTCTAAGATCTAAGATCTAAATCAGTTGCAACAATCTTCATGCTGCATGAGGGAATTGCTGTTCATGTTTCCTAAATAGCAGCTTCCTTCCTGCTACCCTGTCACCCAGAGATTCCCTTGTGATAACTGTGGTACCTACAAAAGCAGTTTGTGACATGATCTATAATCTATGGTTTTCCCATATAAAATATAAAATAAAGAATATGTGTGTGTGTGTATATGCATATTTCCATGCATGCATTTACGTGTGTGTATATATGTATACATATACATATACAGCCTAACTCCTTATGTAAAGGGAAGCAGACCTTGGCTTAGATATTTAGATACAGTTAATATAAAGATAGAAGCATATTATAGAGAGAGAGTTTATCAACACTGTATGTATGTTGAACATACTGAATGGATAACCTCAGAAGGACAATTAAAGCAGTCATGATGCTCCTAAAATAAATGGCTAACTAAACCAATTTCGCAGTAAACTAACCAAAGAAACAAAATAATTGCCAAGCTAATCAAGGCAATATTGAATTTGTTTTCCCAGCATGAATGAAAATGAAAAAAGCAGATTCATCTTTTCAACAAGCAATAAATATTTGTTAAACATCGATATTGAACTTTTCCTATTACAAATGTTGGAATGGCAAATATGTACACCGTACTAAGAAATGCCCGTGGCACAACGACACGTAGTCCTTGTTCAGTGGCAGTTCCTTGTAGTTGAGGCTGTCGCAGCATCCCTGCAGTCACATGATTGCAATTTGGACGCTTGGCAACTGGCTCACAATTACAATGGTTGCAACATCCTCCGGTCATGTGATCACCATTTGCGACCTTCACTGCTGACTCCCAACAAACAAAGTCATTGGGGAAGCCTGCAGGAGGTTGCAAATGCTGATCATGTGACTGTGGAACACCGCAACCGTGCAGGATTCACCTAAGAACAGCACTGGAACTGCCGCAACTGCCGTTGTAAGTTGGCACAGTCATGTGATGTCGCACTTTACTACCACTTCGCTTAGCAACGGAGTTACTGGTTCCATTTACTAAGTAAGGACTACCTGTAGTTAAAAAATTAGTTATATTCATAGCATAGCATGTTAAATAATGTAACTATAAAATTAGTTGATTCATGTATTGTTGTAGAGGCACTGCTTATATGATGGACCGATTAGTGATAATGTGAGCACTGAGTTCCATACATACTTATTCACGTTACCGGAAACATTTCTCAGATTAAATTATGTCCTAATGAAACTCACAAGCTCTACTTCCCCCAAACAATAACGCTGACTAAATCACATATCTTGCTTTTTTAGTCTTTAAGGTTCGTTGACATTGCCACATTACAAGACTATTTTTCATGTTCATAAAATTGTTTATTATAGAACATACTCTTGAATTAAATGAATTAAAATTTGATGAAAGCTGTTTTATCTGTCCAGAGTACTTTCATGCGTGCCAAGTTGTTACTGAGAACAGCAGAATCAATAACAAAACTAAAGAGAGTTGCTTCTGCAACTACTGTTGGGTGCAATTTAATATCAATCAGAATATAAATCATTTGAGAATTGGGTGAGTGTCCAAAAGCAAAACAGGAAACACATCTGTTTTAATAACCTAGTTTTTGTACAGTAGCATATAAGTGGCAACTTACACCATGAGCTCCTTGGATTGTGCGGACTAAGGTGAGCCCTTTCCAGACATAGATGTCTCCATTTAAAGCACCAGAGAATGTAACATCATCTTTTGCACAAGACAAACAGAGGATAGTTTGCAGGTCTCCTGTTTTGCCAAATATTCCTCTTTTGGCTGTCAAGGCATTTCCACACAGAGTCCAAAACTACAAAATGTCAAACAGAGTATCTTCAGCATTTGCAATATGTGTCTGAATCATACCTTTAAGATGTATAAAAAAACCTAGCAGTTTACATAGTTTAGGCCACATAGGAATATGTTTGTTTATGATATTTACATCTAACTCTCTAATGAATTATCAGGATGGCTTACATCGTCAAAGCATTCAAAAGCATTTAAAATGCATAGAACAAGAACTCATAACACATGATGACAACATAAAATCACATGGCAAAAGTAAAAGTATTAACTTAAATAATAGTAAAAATAATAAATTGCTTTTACAAATGGGCAGTGCAGGTCTCAATTTACATAGGTATCCTAGGATATTATCCTTTGTTCCTCCTGTGATCCCAGTAATGAATGAACTCTTTTCACCTGGAATCTGCAGTGCCCGAATCTATGTATTTGAATAAATCCTTTATTTGTGATAAAATCTACAGCATAGGCACTTTGATCAGAATCAGGCCCAGAGCAGGAGGCAAGGGATTACAGTTTCTTGACTCTTCCCAATCCTATACTTAGCACTTTATAGAAACCATATATAAGGTACTTCAAGGCCAGCATAATGCAGCATAAATAACATATAGACCTTTTCCACACAAATGTCTTCTGACACTACCTACTCTCTATCTCAGACAGAGATGTAACCTCTTTTGGGATGATCTGTCTGTACCACCATCAGCAGGCATATTGCAGCTAAGCTTAGATTTTCATAGGGCCAATTATGTGAATTGACCAATCCACAGAATACCCTAAACAGGCTACAGCCCTATAGCCCTCCTCCCACCTCCCTTCTGCACCTAGATTTTGCCTCGCTTCCACTTTTTTTGCTACACTTGTTGCCATTCAAGCCACTCACCAGCAGGTGAATTGAACTGTTCCCCCCTGCCCCCCAAGGAGCCTTGGGATACAGTTTTCTTGGACTTCATAGCTGACCTATCATGTGTCAAAGACCCACTGTAAGTGCCATTCAGGTTGTAGTTTAGTTTTTTTCCTATAGTAGTTTATTTCATTCCTTGCCATGGCTTCCCCTTCACCTTTGAGGCAGCTGATCTGTTTATTCAACAAGTTTTATGAAACCATGGCTTGCCTAATCTCCTTTCTGACAGAAATATATAATTCACAGATAATTTTGGGGAAGTTCTATTTCAGTTATTATATGTTAAACTCTTCCTCTCCTCTTCCCATCATTTGCAATCACATGATGAAATACTATAGAAGACAAATGCCACCTTGGAGCAATATCTTCCTTGATATATTAACTCAATTCATGCCAATAACTCAGATTTTGCCATTTCAAGACATCTACATTTACCACCAGTGTCTGTAGCTAAGGGCTTCCCAGCTTCCCCCCATTCCAGAGGTGTCCTGCATTCTCTAAGAATTGCAAGATGTTCGGTGACTCTTCAAAGATCACCTGGCTCTTGCCAAGGCCTCATGCAAGCACTATGGTGACCATCTCTACTAAGAAACCCTTTCTCTTTGTGGTTGAAGATCACATCTGGCTTTCTATCAAACCTTCTTTGACATTACCAATTGCTCCCAAGTCCAAAGGTCACTTTGGATGAAATCTAGAGACTCCTTTGACTGTTTCTGTGACTGTTAAGTTGGTGGCTATAGTTACACCTGCTTTAATACAGTCAGAATTCTAGAGTTGGAAGGGACCTTGGAAGCCTTCTAGTCCAACCCCCTGCCCAAGATACAGATCCTTATAACAGTGTTTCTCAGTCTTGGGAACTTTAAGATGCATAGATTTCAACTCCCATAATTCCCCAGCCAGCTGGCTAGGGAATTATGGGAGTTGAAGTCTACGCATCTTAAAGTTCCCAAGGTTGAGAAACACTGCCTTATACCATCCCAGACAAATGGCTGTCTAGCCTTTGCTTGAAAATCTCAACACATTTAAATTTAGAGTGACAAGACTTAATATTTTAACTTTTGTTAAATAATACATCAGCTTGTCAGATTTCTGACAAAATGCTAAAAGCAGCACTGCATCATCACAATACAAACTCCACTCTTTTGTGAGTGTGTGCAATGTCATATACACAAAAGGGGCAGAGCTTGTGGTGCAAAGCTTCTTTTGTTATGTACATCCTCTGCAGACACCTGCGCTTGTACAGTCATTTTATTATCACTTTCAGCTAGAGATATATATCCCATACCATTCTTGTTTGCAGAATCCCATTTCTCCTGATTCTTTCCAAATACCCAGCATTTTCACTCAAAAGGATCATTTTCTGTAGTTTGTATAATTCAATTGAATCCACTCTCCTGGATCACAATTTGCCATCCTATCTAAACCAATCTGCCTCTCTTGAAGACCCACCAGCACTCACTCTTTCTCAACACACACACACAACCTGTTTTAATTATTTATACTTTTAAATTTCATTCTGAGGCTTAACCTGATGTGGGAATAGCTTTATGCAGCAGAATATTCATGCATGCAGAGTAAAAGTAATACACCAATACAAGGAAAGATTTCCGGAGATGGATGCTTATATTTAAAAAGAAAGACATTTATTAGAAAACTGGATTTAAATAAAAAACCTAAGCACTTGATCTAGCTGTATTTTAAATAAAATAATGAAAAGCCATGTAATCTACTAAGCATATGGACCTTTCCATTGCATTCCTTCTACTGTATCAAAGAGGCAACCTAAATGAGACCAAGAGGAGAATCCCTACACTAACTTTAACTCAGTGTTTCTCAAACTGGGCAACTTTAAGATGTGTGGACTGGCTGGGGAATTCTCAGAGATGATGTCCACACACCTTAAAGTTGCCCACTTTGAGAAACACTGCTTTAATTTCTTCTATTGCCCCTAGTGGCCAATAGGAAGAGAAGATGCAACAAGGCAATGCATGTAACAGTTGATTTTCCAACAATGTCTTCCAGATACATGGAGATTTCTTACAGTCTTGTTCTTTAGTTAACCCTGCTTTTCATCATTTATTACTAAAGAAAACCAGGTCTTTTAAATTGTGTTAACTTTAGGCTCAGTAAATTTTACTCTTCTGCTTTTCCATGACTTTACTCTATAAAGGACTGATTTGCTAGTTTTCTGTTCTATTTTTCTGATTCAGGTATTTTGCAAGTCTTACAATGTAAGCCACCTTGAGCACCTTTTAATTATTTATTTCATTTATTCAATATATTTGGTCATCTACTTGCCATTTATTAAGAGTAGCCTATATAAAAGAAAAAGTGAAATAAATTTCTTCCCCAATCCAATGAGCAAAGCCATTCCCAACAGAAAAATGCACAATTTTTCAATATAGAAAAAGGCTTGGTGTCTTTGGTATGGTAAAATTTTACAAGTGACCACTACTAGACACACACATAAACACACAAACATATATAATATGTTAGACATCAGCAAAATAACTGAATTTTTAAAAAATCATGCCATATATCTGGAGCTAAATAGCTTCAACTTCAGATTTGAAAAAAAAAGAGCTTTTCAGTGAAGATCCAACTGACAGATTTATTTATATATTTTAGTATAAGATACATTTTGGGTTTTTTTAACTAAACAAAAGAACAC